GTTTGATCCCCAGCCAGGGAGATAACCCACATAGCGTGGCAGACCTCTCCTGTCTCACCCGCTGCTCCCCTCAGCAGTGTATTTCAGTAGATCTGCCTGTTCTGTTCCCCACTCTGTCTCTGGTGAATCCTCTCACCCCCACCCCCCACCTCTGGCCTACACCCTAGTTCTTGTATGAAAAAATAAATAAAATAAATCTTTAAAAAAAAGTAAAACAGAGATGGCAGGAAGGGAAGGGTGGGAAGATGAGGCAGAACAGAGCAGCAGAACTCCAGGTCAAGGGTGGTGAGAACTCACAGGTCAGTTCTCCAGGTGGGATAAGTTATTATTAACTTGAGCTTCACCCTTACTTACTTCACCTATGAGTGTGTTTAAACACCACTGTAATGCTGTCACTTATCCAAGATGCCATATGGGTTGTATGTATGCCATTGTTTTTTCTTGGGCAATTTTTGTTATAATTTCTGCTTCTATGCTCTTTTGACATCTGCCTCATCTCATCCAACCTCTTATTTTTCTATTTCAGCACCTCCTAAAAACAAGAACATTTACCCTTATAACCTCAATGCCATTATCACATGTGTCTCATCTGTTTGGGTGGCTGTAACAAAATGCCACACATTGGGCGGCTTATAAACAACAGAGATTTAGTGCTTACAGTTCTGGTGTCCGGGGAGTCCAAGATCAAAGCACCAGTGTGGCCTTTTTGGTGACTCCCTCCTGCTGTGTCCTCCTGTGGTGAAAGGGGCAAGGGACACGCATACAACATGCAGGATCTAAGCACCCCGCAAGACCCCACCTCCTGATACCATCTACCATCATCTTTAAGAGTTAGGATTTCAATATGATTTGGGGGGGAGATACATTCAGACCATGACACTCCAAATATATAACACTGTTACATTATTAGGGGCTTCCTCTGAGCAATACAGATGTACTAGAGCACACACAGTAGGTGGTGTGAAGATTTGAAAACTGTCTTGAAAAGCTGTTTTAAGGAACTGGAATATATACACAAGCCTTTTCAGAGGGAATGTTACAGTGTTTCTTTCTCTGTGTCTTTAGTAGACCGGCACTTAGCACACACCCACTCTGCGCTGGCTGTGCTGGCCTCTGGGAATGCCAGGAGGGAGACGTGTGGTCCCTGCCTCCTAGGAGTTGAGTTTAATGGGAAAGCCGACATGTGCAGGCACCTCAGAAGACTAAGGCCTTTGCTAATGTTTGAGTGTTAAAAGATGTTTAAGACCCCTAGCTAAAAGTCACCAGAAGTTAGTCTTTAGTTCCATCCTGTTAGCCTTATACCCCAAATGGTCCCCTGAGGTAGGGCTTTGTTCCTGATCCCTGGAATGTATAAGCAGAGCGCTCAGGGATCATACAGTCGCAAGCTTATTTGGTTTCAGAAGTCACGTAAAGGCAAATTGCTGAGAAAATCTGACCCTAAGTATTCACTGCAGTTTTTGGCAAGAGAAGAAGTCAGTCTGATGTTTCATCATCTCCCTGATACTTGCGGTTACCTAGGGCTGCTGACCTGGACTTGCCACGCCCTGTTGGAGTCTCTTGCCCTGAAAATGAGTGTTTTAGTCCCATTTTATAGTTGGAAAGCCTGTACCAAACAGGTCACGCAACTTCCCAAAGTCCCACAGCACAGAGCTGGAGTCTTTGGCCTCCCCATCCTGACCTTCCTTCCCAGTTCCTGGTGATTATCAAAAGCAGCAGCTCTTGTTGCTCTGTGAAGAACAGTAATAAGGAGCCCTGGAGGTCTCATTCCACTTTTCATTCTCCTAGCTCCAGGCTTTCTTCCTGGTGGCAGATGACATCATGGATTCATCCCTCACCCGACGGGGGCAGCCCTGCTGGTACAAAAAGGTAAAGTGGAGGGGAAGTAGCAGTGGGTGTGGGCACATCCTTGGACCCCAGGGAGGTGGTTACATAGAGCCTGTTGTGTTCACAGTGACAGGTCTTGGTATGAATCTAGACTAGGGACCTGGGGACTTACTACTTTTTTTTTTCCTTTGCGCCCCTGTCAGCCGGGCATAGGTTTGGATGCCGTCAATGACGCTCTCCTTCTGGAAGCATGTATCTATCGCCTGCTGAAACTCTACTGCCGGGAACAGCCCTATTACCTGAACTTGATCGAGCTCTTCTTGCAGGTGTGCCTCGGACCAGACCCAGTGCCCAGAGAGTGCCCATAGATACTGTCATTAGCTGCTTTCAGGGCACAGCCGATAGCTCAGGTTGCTTGGGAGGGGAAGAAAGCGAGGAAGGGAGTTGGGAAGGGCTTTTCTGTCCCTGTGTGATTGGAAGGCGCGACAGAGGACTGGGTGTTTGAATGTGAGTTTTGGGGCCCTCTCTTCCTTCATTTCTCACTCTGCCCAGTTGTTGAATGGTATGGGATGTGGGGCCCAGAATTTCAGAGTTCGTTAGCCCTGGAGACAATCCAGCTTATGGGCCATCAGCTTATGGGCCATCTTCCTCTTCCTCAGTGTTCCTATCAGACTGAGATTGGACAGACCCTGGACCTCATCACAGCTCCCCAGGGCAATGTGGATCTTGGCAGATTCACTGAAAAGAGGTGAGGGAGAGTGGGAACCATGTCTGAAGAGTGTGTAAGGGCTCCCACCGGGCACTGCCCTTCTGAGGAGGTTTATCTTTTCCCCGTACTCAGGTACAAATCTATTGTCAAGTACAAGACTGCGTTCTACTCCTTCTACCTCCCTGTAGCTGCTGCCATGTACATGGTGAGTGAGCCTCCCCACACCTCCCTGCCCCGCTGATGTGGGCTTTTGGACAGGTGGGCACAGAGCAGACAGTTTGGGACGATCCCCCACTGAATGGCTGTGTGTCCTTGAGCAAGTAACTTAATCTCTCTGAGTCTAATTCCTCAGATGTAAAATGAGGACAATATTTCCACCTCACAGGATTATTGTAAAAATTAATGGAGGCCAATGATAGGAAAGTAGTTGGCCCATCCTAGAGGGACCTGAGCCCCATATGAGTATGGAGAGGAATGGGAAGACAGAATTCAGGCTAAGGAGGGAGGAGAATGAATTTCAAAGGCAGTCTGGGATTAACTGTTGGACCGGGCCTTGCTTCTCCAAGTTTCCTTTTCATCCTGCGAGAAGTTGGAAATGGCAAAAAGTTTAGAAAGAGGTATCAGAGTGACTCAGGGTCTGATTGTTGAAGAAGATTGTGTCAGGGCCTCCAGAATGGATTCATCTCTGTGAAAAACAAGTGCGATGGAGGTTGGGACAGGGGTCTGGAATTCCTTTTTCAGAGAGCCAGGGGGGTATGAAAGGAGAGGTGGTTTGGGGGCTGCATGGGGCAAGACGTAATGGGGGGAAGAGAGGGGTGAGGAAGGCACCCCTGGCTTCTGGCTTATGGGTGCCCTTTCACTGTAGGCCGGCGTAGATGGGGAACATGAGCATGCCAACGCCAAGAAGATCCTGCTGGAAATGGGAGAGTTCTTTCAGATCCAGGTAGGAGGGCGGGAGGCCCTGGCGGAGTGGGTACAGCATTCCTTCCCTCCCTGGACCTCTTCATTCTTCCTCCCTTTCAGGATGATTACCTGGATCTCTTTGGGGACCCCAGCGTGACTGGCAAGATTGGTACTGACATCCAGGACAACAAATGCAGCTGGCTGGTGGTTCAGTGTCTGAAACGGGCCTCTCCAGAACAGAAACGGATCCTACAGGTGCCCAAGAGGGCCATGGGTTCAGGAGCTGAGAAGAGGGAGTAGTGGTTCTTTTTTTTTTTTTAAAGATTTATTTATTTATTTATTCATTCATACAAGCACTAGGTACAGTCAGAAGCGCGGGAGGGTGAGAGAATTCACCAGAGCCAGAGCGGGGAGCAGAGCAGGCAGAAGGACCGAGGTACGCTGCTGAGGGGAGCAGCGGGCGGCAGGAGAGGTCTGCGCGCCATGTGGGACCCTCACTCGGCCGCCAGGGAACGAACCGGCGCTGCAGAGGCTGCGGGCAGCCTCGCAGCCCAGCACTCAACTGCTGCGCCACCAGGGAGGCCCAGTAGTGGTTCTTTTTTTTTTTTTTTTCCAGTAGTGGTTCTTAAGGGTGGTAATTTTGTACCTCCAGGTGCAAATGTTACCAGACATCTTTTCTTGCAACTCAGTGTACTGTGGGTGCTACAGGTATTTCTAAATGGATAGAGGCCAGGTATGCTGCCAGACACCTTTCAAAGAGCAGGAAAACTTTGTACAACTTGCTGTAATTACCTGGGCCAAAATTCCAGTCGTGTCAAGATTGAGAAACCCTGGGGTACAGGGACCTGAACCCTGAATCACTGAGCTTTTTGGATGGAGACGAGGTTGTTGAAGGTCCTAGGCTTTCTGAAATTGGAAGCAGGGATGGAGTGAGGGGCATTGCACATATTCTAAAGTATATGGTTGAGGGAAGTAGGAAGGGAAGGCTGAGCCCATTTTCCTGCCTCTAACCCCTTCCAGGAGAATTATGGGCAGAAGGAGGCCGAGAAGGTGGCCCGGGTGAAGACACTGTATGAGGAAATGAATCTGCCAGCTTTGTACATGCAATATGAAGAAGACAGTTACAGCCGCCTTATGAGTCTCATCAAGCAGCATGCTGAGTCCATGCCCCCGTCCATCTTCCTGGGACTCGCACACAAGATTTATAAGCGGAAAAACTGATTTAGAGGCTGAGGGCCGGGAGGGAAGGCTCTCAATAAACTATTGTGTAACCTTCTCGTGGTTCTGTTTCTGCTGTGCCAGCCAGCGGCGCACTTTTGTCCGGCAGGATGGGGATGGCTGCAAGGAAGCCTGGATGTTGGCTCCTGCTTTCAGGATCCCTTTGGGCCAGAATCTTGGGCTAGACCAAAAGCCGTGAGCAGGTCTTGGGAGGCTGGATGACGCAGTAAGACGTCAGTGCTGGGGGAGGGTCTGAATTCCGCCCCACCCCTGCGTGAAGGGGCGCGGCTGCGCAGCGCGGGCGGGTTGTCCTAGCGCCCCTCCCCTCGGGTCGGCTGGGCCGGGCGGGACCGTGGGAGCAGCGGGCTGGTCCACACCGGGAACGCTGGCAGGAGGACCCTGGTGAGCCGGGCTCGACCTGTGGGTGTGGGTGGGAGGATCGAAGCACGCGGGGCGAGGCGAGAGAGGGGAGTGGTAAAATGAATAAAGACCGGGTAGGGTGGTGGCTGGAAGACTGAAGACTAGTGCGAAGAGAATGGGTCGACACGCTGGTGTTCCGAGCCGGGTGAAGGTGCGCGGCTCCTGCAGGCTTGAGCCCGGAGCCCACCTGGGGTGTGCGGGGCGGTGTGCCAGGCGGAGCTGACATACTGACGCTTGCTGGGTCCTTCCCCCTCACACCCGCCCCTTTTCTGCATTAACCGGCCTGCTGTGCCCTTCCCCCTCACCCCTCCATTTCAGAGCATCTGGGCGGGGCGTCTCCTGGTTTCTCCCTCAGAGTTAGGGTCAGGCCGGGGGATAGGGCCAGATTGCGGTAGAGAACATCCGGGGGTCCATCTGGGCCCCCATCCTTTTTCAAGCCCCCGCATCTCCGCGGAGATCCATAGCGCAGCCGCGTTCTCTGACCCTCCCCGCCCCATTCCCGAGGGGTTGCATTCGGCTCCACCTGCAAACACTGCAGTGGAAACTAATGGCCGGTCGATCGTCATTTGCATGCCATTTGAACATCGTCGGAAGCCGCCGGCGCCTTTCCAGGCCGGCTCTCCGCCGTCAGTCACCTCGGCGTCCTTCGGGCGGCCGGCACCCTCGCGGGCTGGGTTTCACCATCTCTGTCTCCTAGGTCTGCATCTGCGGTTGCCAGGTAGGCGGATGCGAGAAGCTCGATCCTCCTGATTGTCTAGAGGCCACCCCGCCGCCGCCGGCACCATGCTGTCCCCTCAGAGGGCTTTACTCTGCAACCTCAACCACATCCACCTCCAGCATGTCTCTCTGGGTCTGCATTTGTCCCGCCGTCCAGAGCTACGGGAGGGGCCCCTGAGCACATCCCCTCCCCCAGGGGATACCGGGGGCAAAGAGAGCCGGGGTCCCTGCAGCGGGACCCTGGTGGACGCCAATTCCAACAGCCCGGCCGTGCCCTGCCGATGCTGCCAGGAACACCGGCCGGGCCTAGAAAACGAGCAGGACCCCGCACAGGAGGACGAGGGGGCTACTTCTCCCTCGGACCCCGGCTGCTCCTCCTCTCTCAGCTCTTGCTCAGATCTGAGCCCCGACGAGTCCCCCAATTCAGTCTACTCGCGAGACCTCCCCGGTGAAGAGGATGCCCACCCTCAGGCCAGCATCGCCCCCCTGGAGCCGACCCCCCCACAGGTTTCCCAGGGCCCCGGGGCCTGCTCCCCGGACAGCTTCTGCTGCTCCCCTGATTCTTGCTCCGGAGCATCCTCCCCACCCGGCCCTGGCCTGGACTCCAACTGCAACGCCCTGACCACCTGCCAGGACCGCCCTTCCTCGGGAGTGGAGGAAGAGGACGAGGGCCGGGAGCAAGAGCTCCCCATTTCAGAGCTCACAGAGGCGGATGACGGGAAGATCGAGGCCGGTAAGACCGAACCCAGTTGGAAAATCAACCCCATTTGGAAAATCGACACAGAGAAAACGGAAGCTGACTGGAAAATCACTGAGAACAATAACTCTGGTTGGAAAATCAATGGGAACACTAACTCCAGCTGGAAAACGGAACCCGGAAAATTCGACTCCGGTTGGAAAACCAACCCAGGAATAACTGATTCTGGCTCAAAAACAGATGCAGGGAGAATTGATGGGGAATGGCGAAGTGACGTCAGCGAGGAGCCGGTGCCCCACCGGACAATCACGTCCTTCCACGAGCTGGCCCAGAAGCGCAAGCGGGGCCCGGGGTGGCCCCTGGTGCCGCAGGCCAGGAAAGACCGCAGCGACTGGCTGATCGTCTTCTCGCCCGACACCGAGCTGCCCCCCGCCGGGTCGCTGGGCAGCTCGCCCCCGCCTCCCGGGAAGTCACCACCTTCAAGGAACTCAGGGCCCGAAGCCGGGCCCCGCCCCCACCCCTCCCGCCCCGGGACCCCCCAGCCGGCTGGGCCTTGGTCCCGTCCCGCCCCCCGCCCCCACCCGTCCCGCCCCGGAGGAAGAAGAACCGCCCTGGGCTGCAGCCCATCGCGGAAGGGCAGCCCGAGGAGGGCAGGGCGGGCAGCCCGGTGGCCGGCCAGGAGCACCCAGCCGCGAGGGAACCCGAGGAGCCCGGCGCGCGGGCCGGCCTGGAGGGTAAGAGGCCGCAGGAGGCAGCGGGCGGAGGGCTGGGCGGCCTCGCCTCGCCTGCAGAGCCGGCCGCCTGCCCCCGTCTCCCTCCCTGCGTCACCCTCCTTCCTGGCCCTTCTCCCGGGAGCGCCCCGGGGCAGGGGCACTGGCGGGCCACTGGGTCTCGGGACTAACTCTCTGCTCCCTCTTTCTCCCGCCCTCCTTGCCTGGCTGCCGGCCCCGCTGCCCTCTCCCCCGCCCCGCACCTGCCCCCCAACCCCGCCTGCAGCCCGTCCCCTCCCGCTCCCGCGGCCGCTGGTTTTCCGGCTCGCGGCCGCCGGGCGCCCTCTGCTGGAGGGCGGGGGCGCGGGCGCCGCCGGGGCTCTGCTGCTGGCGCCGCTGGCGGGCTGGCCCGGCGCGGGGCTGCGGCTGCTGGGGGCGCGGAGCACCCCGGAGGAGCCGCTGCTGCCCGCCCGCCTGTCCCCGGTGGGGGCCTATTCGCCTCCAGCTCGGGGGGCCCTGCCCTGCCTGGCCAGCCCTGAGCTGGCCCTGCTGCTGTCCCCGCTCTTCCCCAGAAGTAGCTCCTTCCCCGCCGCGGCTTCCCCGCCCCGCCAGGTGCCCGCCCCCCCGCCGCCGCGCCCGCCGAAGGGCCCTCGCCGGACCAGGAGCCCCGCGCCTCCGCCCAGGCTACGTAAGACGGCCCCGGGGGGCCGCGGGCCCGCCCCGGCGGCGCCCCGCCCGCCCGCCCCGCCCGCGGTCTCACAGTAGCTTTTCCTGGGTTTTGGGGCTCGGCCCCGCCCTGCAGCCCCTGCGGATTCCGAGCCCGCCACTGGCCCCGGGAGGCCGCCCGCTCCCGGCGCCGCGGGGAGACTGCCCGCCCCCCCCAGGGCCCGGCCTTACCCCGCCCGGGCGCGCCGGAGCGCCGGGGAAGCGCGCGGTGCGGGGGCCGCGGGGCGCGCTCCCAGGTGCGGGGGCCCCGGGCCGGGGCTGCAGTTCCAGCCGGATCCCCACCTGTTGGGTGAGGGTGGAGGGGCGTTCCCGGAGCTCATTGGCCGAGCAGATTCCAGGCGCGCCCTCCCCGGCCGCCGCTCGCGCGCTGTCGCGGGGGCTCGGGTTTCCCCTTTCCGAGGCCTTCCAGCCTCCCAATCCTAGGGTCTCCTCACCTTCTGTCCCTCCTCCCATTGCCGTCTGTCTGTCTTTCCATTGGTTCAGGATCCCCACGTGTTCCCCGGGTCTCCGCGGGCCGGACCAGGGCTTGGGGCGGGCGCAGGGCTGCCCCTTCCTTCCCCGGCCCTCTGATCTCCCGCCCTGCAGGCCCCAGCCGGGCTGGCGGGCGGTGAGTGCAGCAGTCCCGCCCCGGGACTTCCGTGGCCGAGGAGGTGGGAGTCGGCCCCCGAGGCTGGGAAGTGGGAAGTGTGTGTGTGAGGGGGTGTGAGGGGGAAGAGGGGTGGCTGGGATCTGTGCAGGGCTCACTTTGGGGCTCTGTGCCGCGCCGCAGGTGACCTGTGCGGAATCCCGGAGTCCTTGGGGTAACCCTTGGTTAAGTGTCACTGTGTCTTCTTCCCTTGCTCCAGTCCGCAGTTCCTGGTCTTTTGCCGGTGTCCCCGGGGCCCAGCGACGGTGGATGGCAGAAGCCCGGAGTGGGACTGGCCAGCTTCAGGAGCAGAAGAAAGGTAGGAGGTCTGGCTTGGACCCCAGGCTCCTGAATCAGCCTCCCCTCGCTGGGTGGGACTGCATGAGCATGAAACCATTCTCTCCAGGTCCCTTGGATTTGCCGGGGAGATTGGTGGACTTTGATGCTTCTTCCCTTGCGCCCCCTCCCAGGTCTCCTGATAGCTGTCAGCGCCTCGGTGGATAAAATAATCTCGCACTTTGGGGCTGCTCGGAACTTGGTTCAGAAGGTGAAGGTGCCTGGGGAATGTATGGGGGTGACAGTAATGCCGTTCCGGGGGCCAGTAACAGTTGGTGGGGAGGGTGCTAGAGGCACCTCTGGACCCAGGCCCATTGCACTGATTTCCAGGCCCAGTTGGGGGACAGCCGGCTGAGCCCAGACGTGGGGCACCTGGTGCTGACCACTCTCTGTCCAGCCCTCCACGCCCTGGTGGCCGATGGGCTGAAGCCTTTCCGGAAGGACCTCATCACAGGGCAGCGCAGGAGCAGCCCCTGGAGTGTGGTGGGGGCCTCTGTAAAGCCTGGTAAAGGGGGGCTAAGGGCTGGATGGTGGGTGGCTATTGGGCAGGGCTGGGGCCTGGCTGACAGGCCTGGTGTCCTCAGGCTCCAGCACCCGGGGCCTGGGCGCCCTATATAGCCAGGTTAGCCGCCTGGCCCCCCTGAGCAGCAGCCGGAGCCGCTTCCACGCCTTCATTCTGGGTCTCCTCAAGTGAGTGTCCTCCTCTCTGGCATCACTCCCTCAGCCTGGGGCCCGCAAGGGCGGGGGTGGGGGGGTGGGGGGGTGGGGATGCAGTCAGGGTGCTCTATGTCCCCAGAAGCTTCTGCTCTTCCAGGCTCATCTCTGCCTCCCACCCAGCGGGGCTGGAACTCCACGTCCCTGAATTCTGTCCCCTCCTTTCTCCCCAGCACTAAGCAGTTGGAACTCTGGTTTTCCAGTCTCCAGGAAGATGCAGGTCAGAGGCCCGAATGGGAGAGGATGGGGATTGAAGGGCTTGGGGGCAGGGGAGGGGAAGGGATCTTTTCTCTTGGTTCCCAATGCTGCCCGAATAATCTGATCTCATTGCTTTTCTGGTTAAAACTCTTCCAAGAGGGCCCTTTGCCCATAGGAGAAAAGACCCAAATCCTCACCTCAGACCTTGGTCATGTGACCGCCACCTTCTTCCCTGCCTCCAGCTCTGTGGCTTTCCTGTGACTGTTGTCCTTTCTCTTTCGGTTCTTCCTGCCTGAGAACCCGACGTGATGTGCTTTCATCTAAAACTGGCCTCCCTCCACCTCCTGCTCTTCTCTAACTTTCGTTCCTCCTTTGGAACCTTCTTTAATGAGGCTCCACCCCACCCTCAGGCTAGACTAACCCCCCACTCCTGCATTTTGCTCCCATGACCCTCAAGTCCTTTCTGTTAGCTGCTAGTCACCACTTGTTCTACCTGTGTCTGCCTCTCTAGGCTTCTGTTCTATCTATGCAGGGATGTCAAACATACCCCCTTTGGGCTTCACATACCCCCCTTTACCCACCCCCTCCCGTGTGGAGCACTGAATGAGGCTGGGGGGATGTGTGCTGACTGGGGGCTGATGCAGGGTCCTCTGGGACTAGGCCAGGGTGGGGCTAATGTGAGCTGCTCCTTCCCAGGCCTGCTGTCCCTCCTGTACCTGCCCACCGGCTTCTTCTCCCTGGCCCAAGGCGGCTGCCCTGCCCTGTCCACAGAGCTGCTGCTGCTGCTGCAGCCACTGTCGGTACTCACCTTCCACCTGGACCTGCTCTTTGAACACCACCACCACCTGCCCCTGGGCCCGCCCCCTGCCCCGGCCCCGCCGGACTCACCTCCTGCGCTGCAGCAGACCGTGCAAGCCATGCTGCACTGGGGGGGGCGGCTGGCTCAGAGTCTTCGGGGGGCTTCTGGGGAGGCCTCTCCAGCTCCTTCAGCCCCCTCAAGCTCTCCCACACCGGGAAGCTGGTGGGAGCAGCTGACCCAGGCCTCCCGGGTCTATGCCTCTGGGGGCACCGAGGGCTTTCCTCTTCCCCGGTGGGGATGCAGGCGTCCTGGGGTCGCAGCTGAGGGCGCACAAGAGAGGACCCCGCCCCCAGAAGAAGCCACACCAGGCAGAGGCCCAGACAGAGGCTTGTGGCTGGGGAGACTGTTTGGAGTGCCTGGGGGCCTCACAGAAACTGAGAGTGGAGTCCTAAAGTCCAGGTAACGGGATCCCTGGTCCCCTCCATCACTCCTGCCCCCTTCCCAGAGCCCCGAGTCACTCCACATTCTAATTCTATAGTGATCCTACATTCTTTTTTTTTTTTAAAGATTTATTTTTATTTATTTATACAAGCACTGGGTACAGTCAGAAGCGCGGGAGGGTGAGAGAATTCACCAGAGCCAGAGCGGGGAGCAGAGCAGGCAGAAGGACCGAAGCACACTGCTGAGGGGAGCAGCGGGCGGCAGGAGAGGTCTGCGCGCCATGCAGGACCCTCCTCCGGTGGCCGGGGAGCAGCCGGGGATTGAACCGGTGCCGCAGAGGCTGCGGGCAGCTTCGCAACCCAGCGCTCAACCGCTGCGCCACCGGGGAGGCCCGATCCTACATTCTTAAGTGGCTGTATTTGATGGTTATGTAAGAACCCACATAATGTCCTCCATTTCGCCTCTTGTCCCTGAAAACCAAAAATATTTTCCATCTTGTACTTTATAGAGCAGAGATAATTTGCTGACATCTGCTCTAGGATCTGACCATTGGTGACACTAATGACTCCAGATGTTAGTGACCCCCTAGATCTCTCTGAGCCTGCTGGTTCCACAGGTCCCGTCACGATCTTCGGTATTGTTGACCTCTGTTGTCACTCACCCCCTATCACTTAAAGTACCTGTGGCCCACAGTTGCCACTCTGCCCTCAGGGTCACCATGTTCTGTCCTCTCTTGAACCGTGGACTGGCCCCTGAGCCTCTTCAAAAGCCCTGGATTCTTGGGTTCCTTTTCTGGTGGAGGAAAGACCTTGTAACCCTGTGTCCTTTCCTCCAGGAGACCCTCCAGCTGGCTGTCCCCAACGGTGAACGTGTTAGCTCTGGTGAAGCGGGGGCCACCTTCTGACACTCCCTCCTTTCCTGAGGAGCTTGAGGCCTCAGTAGACAGCTTGGTGCAGACCCACAGGTAAGGGGAATCAGGGAGAATTGGTGTTCAAGTGTGTGCGTGTGTGTATGCGTGAGTGCGCGCGCGCACGCACGGAGTAGGTGGGAGGGAGTATAAAAGGTCTTGTGCTTCAGGGCAGACAGTGCTAAGTTTGCATTGTGTCTTCACTGCTTATTATTGGTGTGACACCAATTCCTCTGAGGTTTAGTTTCTCTCACCGTTAAAAAGAAATGATCGTTTATACTTTTGTTATGGTTGTCGTGAAGCCCAAACGTAATTTTATAAAAGCGTCGGCACACAGTTAATGGTGACTTTGATTCCAGTGTGTGTACGTGGATGCGCCCACGTGTGTTCCCTGAGGGGCTGTGTTTCCCTGCAGTGGGGTCTTCTGACTTGGTATCAGGAGCTGCTTCTGCTTTGCGGTCTTGCTTCCTTTGGGGTCTCTCAATCCACTGGATTAGTCTTCTTGATTTTTCATTCATTCAAGCAATGTTTTTCAAGTATTTACTATGTGCTAAGCATTGTGCTAGGGGAGAGAATACAAAGTAATACATCTTGGGGTCCCTGCCCTCAACAAGGTGTAGTTGGTGGGATACTGATGACTAGATGAGTAGTTACAATTCTGGTAACGACTCTAGGAGAGGAACCCTGAGTCCTTTGGGGTCACATATTGAGGGCTTCTTCCCTAGGTCTAGGGGCTCAGGGAGGCTTAGTGATGGTGTTGGCTGTGCACCTGGCAGAAGGAACAGGATGCAGAGGTGGAGAACCCAAGTTCGGTAAATGAGGTCCATGATTGGTTGTGCCTGGAGTTCAAGATGCTGGGAGCAGTGATGGGGAGGCTGGCGCCATGCTAAGGCCAGTGAAGGAGGCTGGACGTCACCTGAGGTGATGGGAGCCAGGAGAGGGTCTTAAGCCTGGGAATGATATGCTTGCTATGTCTTAGGAGGCTCTCTGAAGAACTGGGGAGGGAGGCCAGGAGAGATTCAGGGAGACCTGTTGGACCATATGCAGTGGTCCAGCCGGAGGGAAGAGTTGGAGGCCTAAACTGGGACGGTGCATCGAAGTTGAAGATGGAATAATGGGAGATAACATCAATCAATGGAGAGATTAAGGAGTGAGACACATTCCGGTTTTGGCCAGGAGCAACTGGGTAGAAGGTGATGCTGTTTACCACGGTAGGGGATTGAGGATGAGGAGCTGTTTGGAGGCTTAAGATGAGTCATTTTGTTTGCATCTGGTCAATTTGAAGCACCAGAGAAGTGCAGATCACCTCAAGTGGCTAGAGTGGGTGCTGAAGATTGGGTTTGCTCAGCACGGGGCTGGAGCCTAGTGAGAATCAACATGTTGCTAGATGGGCCCTGTGCCTCCTCCAGAGCCCTGTCCGTGTTCACTGAGCTGAGCCAACAGGATGCTTCACACACTGGGCAGGTGGAGGCCGGGGCATCCCTACCCCTTTCACCCTAGCCTCTCCCTCTGGCTCCCCACAGGGCAGTCCGGGCGCTCTGTGACCACACTGCTGCAGGACCTGACCAGCTGAGCTTCCGGCGGGGGGAAGTGCTGCATGTCATCGCCACTGTGGACGAGGACTGGCTTCGCTGTGGGCGGGAGGGAGTGGAGGGGCTGGTGCCCGTGGGGTACACCTCTCTTGTTCTCTAGGCCTGGGACCTTTTCCTGCAAATGTCTCTCCCTATCATCCGAGAAGTGGAATGGCCGGAGAACACTAACCTATGTAAACGGATCCCCCCTGAAGCACTCCTTGTCTGCAAATGACACTTGCCCCCCACACCCATTTCTGATAATATATAAAATACTTTCCTTTTTTCTGCCCATGCCCATCTGTAAGGTGAAATTTACAAATCTATAAAGAGAAATGTCCCTCCATGCAATCTCTTTTCTTTCCCACGTGCATAAGGGGAAGTCTCCCTATCTGCAAAATGGAAAGCTAGCCCCACCTCTACCCTCTCCATCTGTAAGTGAACTGTGCCAGTACAGTATACGCCTCAGTTCCCAAGACTAGAGGTGCCTCTAGTCTTCTCCGTGTATGGAATCTCCCCCCATTGCACCCCACCCCCCCCACGTTGCCTGTATTTATTATGTACTCATGCTGTACTAGGTGCTGACGTCTGGACACCCCTGGTGGGTGGCCTGTGCTATTGGTCTGCCTCCTTCCTCTTTTGTCCCAATAAAGCGTGGGAGTTAAATGTGTGCGCGCGTGTCACTGTTAGTTTCAGGATGTAATCTGTGGTGGGAGGGGAGGGAAGCCAGGGGCCGATGCTGCCTTCCTCACCCAGGTTCAGGTCTTGTTCCCTGAGGAATGGAGAAGGGGCCCTGGAATGGTGCCTGAAGCTGAGTGTGTCTCTGCTGTGAGACTTGGTAGTTTGTCTTACTAGACTGCTAAAGGAGGAATCTGAGGAAATATGGGAGAGCAGGCAAGACTTAGATGGCCCTTGAAATGTGTACTTAGATTCGCTTTTGTGAAGGGAAGAATTAAAGGGTTGCAAGAAGTGACACATTTTTTTCTCTTTCATATTCTGTGGTGATATAATTTCAGGTGAAGGCAAAATAATTTGATGTCTATTATTTTAGTAGGAGTTAAAGAGTTTCCTTTCAGTCTTTTGAAAGGAGAAGAGCTAAGATGCTTTGGAGCTTTGAGGATGGGGTTGGGAATTACTGTAAGATTTTAAGAGATTAGAAGAATAGAAAGCTGTAATTATAACCAGGCAACAGGAAAGTTAGGGGGAAGCTGACAACTATGAAGTGAAACACAGGAAAGAAGAAATTTGACTGTTTTCCTTCATCTTTGGATGAAGGCATGAGGTGATTTGAGGACTGCAGAGCCAAAGCTTGGGAAATACTCAGGAGCAGGTTTGATCAGACTCAGATGTCTTATACTTTTTACATTTTCTAAGAGTTAATGTTCCCCATTCCTCACCAATTCCTGCGGGTCATCTGTTCTTTGTGTTTGGGTCCCCTCTCAACTTTATACCCCCATTTTATTTTTTTAAATTATTAAGAAGTGGGGTATAGGCCAGAGCTGTGGTGGGTGAGAAGATTCACCAGAGACCAGGGAACAGAACAGGCAGATGTACCGTAATACACTGCTGAGGGGAGCAGCGGGCGAGTCAGGAGAGGTCTGCTGTGCCATAAGGGTTGCTCCCCAGCCGGCTGGGGATCGAACTTGCACTGCAAAGACCACGGACAGCCTCACAGTGCTGTACTTAACCCCCTGCGCCACCAGGGAGGCCCCCAGTTTCATTTTGGATAGATCCTAAGGGCCCTTGGGAATCCCTAGTTATGTTCTTTTTATTTATTTATGCATATAAGAACTGTGGTATAGGCCAGAGCGGGGGGTGTGTGTGTGTGTGTGTGTGTGAGAGAGGATTTACCAGAGACAGAGTGGGGAGCAGAACAGGCGGTTCTACTGAAATACATTGCTGAGGGGAGCAGTGGGTGAGACAGAAGAGGTCTGCTGTGCTGTATGGGTCACCTCCCTGGCTGGGGATTGAACTCGTGCTGCAGAGGCTGTGGATAGCTTCATAGTGCTGAGATTTAACCCCTTGCACCACCAGGGAGGCCCTATAGAGCTCTCATTTTACATGATTCAACCTGCCCTCCCCTTTTTTGATCTCTCCTTAAGTGTTTGGTTTTCGAGTAATGCTAACAACTGGGCAGAATTCTAGAACAGTACTGTTAGGAGCATCAGTGAGATCTGGCCCGATGACACTTGCAGTCGAAGTCTAATGGTTCCCAGGCTGGAGTGGGTGCTCAGAGCGGTGGGACCACCTCATGAAATAGACCACTGATAACAAATTTGGTTTTGCACTATTATAGATTATCTAGGATGGAACAGTTATAGTAGATACTAAAGGTTAAAAAAGTATGTGAAAAAATTCAAGTACTGATCATTGTTTTTGCAGTTGTGATGAGACCTAGCAGTAGGATAAGGCCTAAGTTCTCATAAAGAGGTTAAGCTCTTTCCGTCAATCACCTTGATGTGTGGGAGCAACTCTGTTCTAGCTCAACTCAGTGTCTAAATGTTTGACCAATGTCTGGGGCAATTTTTTTTAGGTATTCCAGTTGTTGGCAGGTTTATCTTTCTTGGCTAGTAGGGTCACATTTTTGGCTATTTCCAACATTTTCATATATGGGAATGAATATACAGATTTTTGGAGTTCTAGTTCTAACATTAGTTACTAGGTGATCTCTGCCAAGTTATTTAACAATCCTATTTTCCCACCTACAAATGAGAAATAATGATTTTAGAGGCTATAAGGATTTTGTTTTGTATAAAATTTAAATTTTGGGCCTCCCCGGTAGCGCAGCAGTTGAGCGCTGGGTTGCAAAGCTGTGAAGCCTCCGCAGCATCGGTTCGATCCCCAGCCGCCGGGCTAGGGTCCCACATGGCGCGCAGACCTTCTCCTGCTGCCCGCTGCTCCCCTCAGCAGTGTATTTTGTCAGTCTGCCTGTTCTGCTCTGGCTCTGGTGAATTCTCTCACCCTCCCGCGCTTCTGACTGTACCCAGTGCTTGTAAAAATAAATAAATTTAAAAAAATTAAATTTTACAACTGACCATATTTGGATCTTCTTACATTAAATACAATGGAAATGTTCATACTAATTTTTTCCCCAAAGGAAAAATTTCTGAATCAGTATTCTGCAGAGAATACAAATGAGTTCAGATACTTGAAATTCAAATTTCCATAAAGAACATAAATAACACAAAATTTTACTTCCAAAATCTGAAATCATCAACATGATTTTGTAGTATTGTCTCTCAGGCTTTCCCTAAAAATTCACTATTATTCAAAGATAGAGCCCTAGTCATATTTTTGAAAAATCCTCTGCCCTAGCACAACTTCCCGAGATCTGTGAAGAAACTGCAGTTCTGGGATCAGGGTCCACAGTACTGGCAGTTTTGTATTTGTAAGGGAAAAACAGTGACTGGTCAGCAGCAGTCTGCAGATTTTCCTGAAACATCGACAAGGGCCTGGTAGTCACTGTGGACGACTGCCAAGCATGTGGGAATAATAAGGGAGTGCACCATTTTTGTGTCAATTCTTGTACAAGAATAAAGGAACAACAACAACAACAAAAAGAATAAAGGAACAAAACTATCTGCGAGTAAGGTATCAGGAAAAAATTTCCATAACCAAACGGCAGGGGAAGTAACCCAGTTTTCAGGGAGAGTGTTCCTGTGGTTCCTTCAATGGGTTCCTCTGGGTGCTGTTGGATTTGTTCCACACCAGCCTGTTCTAAGTTGCACTGATTTAAAACAGAGTAAAACACTGCTGCCCTTGCTAACAGAGACGATCCCACGCCAATCCTTCCCATCCGCGGATAGAAGTTCATCATTCTTCATGCACTGTGCAGTGGTCCCGAATATCTTGTTCTGAATCACTTAGTTCTGAATAATGGGGGTGGCTTTGGCATTTCAGAGAAAGCCACCACAAAAGAAATCCCCAGTCACCAGCTGGAAGAAAGGGGAGAGGGGGCAGCCTGGAGCACACACGCTTACTGATTAAGGACAGGGGCTTGCGTTTGGTCATGCAGCGGCTTGGTCCCGTAGCAGAGCCCCGGTCTGTTATCCATATTGCGAAGATTAACCAACGAGCTTGGGCAAGTTACATAGCCTTTCTGTTGCTTCAGTTTCCTCATCTATGAAACTGGCTTTTGACACCTACCTACAACGGCTCTTATGAAGATTAATAAATGAATACACGTAAAGTGCTCATGAGGGAAATGAACTAACACAGTGGCCTAAGAAAATGTGGCCTGAAGGGATCGCCGGCCTTGGAGGTTACTATTAAATGAGATGATAGACACACGTGCAAGGGACAGGGGTCTACGTGACTACTGTGCTGACTGGGTAGGCTGGGCTCAGACCACAGAGATCCTAGTATTGAGGAAAGGGCTTTAGCTAAGAGGCAAAAGCAGTGAGTACACTCATTTGGGGCCCATATGCTCATGATGTGGTATTAAAAGGATCTCTTTGGAAACAGGAAGGAGAAGGTCCTGGAAGATAAATGAAGGACAGGGAAAGAGGAAAAAAAATAGCAAGCTCACCACTCTGCAGTTAGGAAAAGTTTTTTTCCATTTAATACTAGACTTTCAAGGATTGAGATGCAAGCTTTTTATGCAATTACATCCAATGTTAAAATTGGTAATACATAATTTACAAAGATTAACATCAAAACAATCATCTATTTAGATATGCTTTTGTAAAAAGGAAATATATTAGCAGCATTTATATTTTCCGCAATCACACAGCCTACAGACATGCAGACTAACTCTGTATCTATTTGCAGTGATGTAGTGCTTTGCCCCGCATTTCAAACACCAAAACCCGCCTGGCAGCTAGGGGGTTCTTTTTATTTCGTTATTATAAAATAACTGAAAAATAAAAAAAGGCATTAATTTCTACACCAGTAAGAAAAACGAAGTTTTTGCACTTACCTAACATTTGATTGTCTAAAAAACATTTCAGTTTTTAGTCTTTCAACAAAAGAAAGATAAAATGACAGAGCGTAGTGTCTTTTGCTTCTGTTCTCGCATTTTACAAAGTTTTTTTTTCTTTTTTTCTTTTTTTGTATTTTTTAAAATTTTAGTGTTTAACACTATTAAAGGAAATATTGAATTTTATCTCTTTCTTCTCATTTTCCTGCTTCTGACTAAAAGGAGACCCCCAAAGTGCCCCTAGTCCCCCACCTCCCTCCCACCCAGCTCCCTGCAACAAAAATCAAAAGAAACCACTCAAACGGGCTTGGACATGCGATTTTTCCAGCTCCACACATGAGTATCTTATACCCAGGTCTCTTAGTAATGTACAGTGCTTCTCTACAGTAAGAAAATACTCCAAACTATTTTCTTAATTCTCTTTTTTCTTTAATAAAATATTTATTCTGCTTTTTCTCTGCTCAAGGGGATCTTTGGCATCCCCTGTCTCTTTTGTTTTTTCCTTCAAGATTGACACAGAAAGAAGAAAAAGAAAAAAAGATTCAATGGAATGGAAGGTGGTCAATGTTTCTACCTAAACAAGTCAGAGTGTCGTCATCATAAGGGGAAATGTACAGTTAGGACAGCATTGGTCCAATATTAGAAAAAAGTAATGGGACATGTTTACTATTGTATTGCTTACTAATCACGCAGCAGATATATATATGCATATATATATATATATATACGCATATATATATACACACACAACTTGGCACGTTTAAAAACCATCTTTTCTTTATAAGA